ACAGTTAGCACTGGAATTTATTTAAATCTATGAAAAGATTTTTACAGACGCATTATCCGAATGTAGAGCCTATTCTGGCAGGCTGGCTAGAACAACACAGACACATGTGAAAGAAAATAAGTCTGCTCTGCTAATATTTGTGTAGAAGACATTTAGCAGGTAGCAGTTTATACACAACCATAATCTGACATGTTGCATTTTAAACTCTCCCTTCTGGAAAACTATTATCACCATGGGAGCTAGTCTTTTTTAGAATCCTGGTTATGTTATAATTCCAGTGTTTACTATAATAACAGGCATAAATGTATGTCAGCTTGTTATTACTAATACTAGAACATTAATGCAAATATATTATTACATCTCCAAACTCTACTACAGTTATGTCCAACTGTTTTTGAATTGGGGATTGAGTTTGGCCACAAGTGGTATACTGGCCTGGGAACAAACAATGTCGGCTGGCGGGTCTGCAGGGGAGGGCCTTCTCTGTGGTTGCCCCGGCTCTCTGGAACCAATTACTCCCTGAGGTCCGGATTGCCCCCATCCTACTGGCCTTCCAGAAAGCGGTGAAGACCTGGCTCGTCCGGCAGGCCTGGGACTGTTGATCTCACTATGGTGATCTTGCGAGACCCGGCCACAAATTGGAATTTTTAGGTTTTAATGTTTTTTTAAAACTTTTGTATGGGATATTGTTTGCATTGTTTTATTCTTTGTTGTTAGCCGCCTAAAGTCCCTCCGGAGTTTTGTGGCATAAACATGTGACTAATAAATAAACAATATTAAAAATTTGAGAAGAGTAGAATATGAGAACTAAATTTGCTTTCATTTAATGTAAAGTTATAAAAACAAAATTAAATGCAACAAATACCATTTTCCTCCTGTTTTTAATCATTTTAGGTTATTAATTCCTGCTTTATTTTATCCCAATAAGTACACCAAGATGCAGTTTCTAGATTCACAGGTAGCCTTTTAAAATAAATAATTAAAAATGCAAAGAGAGAAAAACTCTTAGACACTGTAGGTGAGAACTGTAACATAAGCTAATTCATGGACTGAGTTTAAACAACAAAGTACCAGTAGTAAAGTGTTCTGGAAAAACACAGCCAATATATTGTGCAAATACAGCCAACTGGTTTGAACCAGGAAATCATAGTTATATATATATATGTTTTCTCAGGTTTTCGCGGGTGTTTGTATGTAGGTCTTTGGTTATTCGGGTCTTCTCCCACGTAAAATTGGAAGTGTCTTGGCGACGTTTCGACGAAGTCTCATTCGTCATCTTCAGGCTGGTGTTCTCGGCTTCGTGCTTCCAGGAGCACGAAGCCGAGAACACCAGCCTGAAGATGACGAATGAGACTTCGTCGAAACGTCGCCACTACATATATATATATATATATATATATATATATATATATATATATATATATATATATATATGTATATATATATATATATATATATATATATATATATATATATATATATATATAAAGTTTATCAAAATATAAAATACAAAGAAAACTAAAAATAATGGGAAAATAGGGGAGGAAAAAGAGAAGAGAGAAAAATGTAGGGTAAGGGGAAAAGAAAAAGAAAAACATTGATGTCCAACTCTTTTTAGTGCAGTAGAATAAGGCAGTAATAAACCTCAACTTTTTACTTTTATAAAATAACATATACTAGCCATTTCTAGAAAATGCACATTTTTTCAAGGAAATTGAATGAACTTTATTTATCCTATAACTCCACAAAAATCCATGATGGAGATGTTCACAGAACCTTGTACATAAGGTTGGTTGTGTCTGTTCATAATTCTCTCTGTATGCATAAATGATTATTCCATTACCTTGATATCCGGGTGCATCATTAATTTTAGAAGTGTGTGCTGTCAGTCCCTGGCCTTAAGCCCAGCTATCTTTGCTTCTGCTGACTAATTTCCTTTTCCTACACCTCCAGCTGCTTGCCTAAACCATAGCAAAGGCAAATTTAACACAGCACGCATCACCACTTGTTTTGAAAGACTGTACTCTTCAATGAGGAAAGGAAATCCAAAATATGAAGATTTTCAGAAAATCCCACGGCTGTTTGTGATATAGCCTGGCTAGGCTTCCTGTTGGCACCTAAGAGATCTCAATAATCTAAACAATCTCATGACAGAATTTATAAAAAAGAAAAAAAAGCTCCCCAAAAAAGCCCATAGAAAGCAACCACTGATTTACAAAAGGGGCTTTGACAGAATTTCCTATTCTCTAAATTGGATTTAGGTAATTGGGCTTATGTCTCCATTTACAGTTGGTCCTCGATTTATGACCACAATGGAGCCCAAAAATTTTGTTGCTAAGCAAGACATTTGTTGTGAATTTGCCTCATTTTACAACTTTTCTTGCCACAGTTGTTAAGTGAATCAGTGCAGTTGTAAAGTTAGCAACACGGTTGTTAAGTGAATCTGGCTTTCCCATTGACTTTGCTTGTCAGAAGGTCACAAAAGGGGATCACATGACCCCGACCCACTGCAAATGTCATAAATATGAGTCAGTTGCCAAGTATCCAAACTTTGATCACAGGACCATGGAGATGCTGCAATGGTCGTAAATGTGAAAAACCTCATGTCACTTTTTTTAGTGCCATTGTAACTTTGAATGGTCATTAAATGAACTGTTATAAGTCAAGGACTACCTGTAAACTGATTTTATATATATAATATATACTGCTCAAAAAAATAAAGGAAACACAAGCAGAAGACATCCGAGATCTGAATGAATGAAATAGCCTTATTAAATACTTTGTTCTTTACATACACTGCTCAAACAACTAAAGGGAACACAAAACTACTGTTTGTAACGAACAAAGTATTTAATAAGGCTATTTCATTCATTCAGATCTCGGATGTCTTCTGCTTGTGTTCCCTTTATTTTTTTGAGCAGTGTGTGTGTGTGTGTGTGTGTGTGTGGTTTTCCTCTAGCCAGGTTTTTCCTATGTAACCAAGGTTTTTCTGCAGCCCTAGCTCAGTAGAATCACATCCACTAGGGCTAGGGCTGCAGAAAAACCTTGGTTATGTAGGAAAAACCTGGCTAGAGGAAAAACACACATAAATCCTACGAAGAAGTAAGAAAATATATATATATAATATATATATATATATATATATATATATATATATATATATATATATATATATAATTATATTATATATATATAATATATATTCTGTTTCAGGTGCCTGTTAGACTATATTTGCACTAGACTAACTCAGTGACTACCCTATGTATCTACACAATATGCTTATTCCACTGTCTGCTTTTTGTGGCTCTCATGTCCTGAAGGAATATAGAAAATAGCCTAATGATCCTACTTCATTAGCTTGTCCAGTTAAAGATGAAACCTTAATTGATTTAGTCAATTAAGCTCATTTTCTGGATTCACACACCACTAACGCACTAGATCATAAATGCAGGCTGGGCTTGCTCAGTATGTCAGGTTAAAAGGTCTTTGACTCATTTGTGGTTCAGTGTGTTGTGCAAACTCAGACAGAGGATGCTGAACTCACTAGTGTGCTGATTAATTTGTTAAAAGCAATCATTGTATTATATTAAGAGAAGTTGTTATTGTACAAAATATTAACCAAATATCAAAATTTCTTGACGTTTCCTATAAGAGCCAAAAATGGGGGAATTTTGCAAATGTTCACTAGCTTTCCTATTTTATACTTTCAACAGAATTAATTTAAAGATATAATTAATAGCAATTATAAAGTTGGTCCTTAACTTTTCTTTGTGTACATTAAAAATTGCACTGTTGTCCCTTTTTCAAATGAAAATATACTGTATTTGAAGCCATTAATTATTCCAATGATCTCTGAGAAGAGATTCTCTCCATTCTTTCATTGTTGTTGTTGTTCTTTGCTGGTTTTTAGATAGTTTTTACCTGTTTTTTCTCTGTTACTTTCACATACTGGTTTATTGTCTGTAGCTTTGCTTCTAACTGAGATGTTTAATGGGATTGATTTGTAGCTGTAGACTATATCAGGATTTGACAATTTGAAAAACCCTAATCTATGTCGCAAAGGATTTTTAGAGGTTTCTTGATAAACCAACACTAGGAAAGAAGGGGATGAAGATTATAACTCCATATAGAGAAACCAGCAGGAAGTTGGAAGTTGCTCAGTTCTACAGAGGAATTATTGAGTCTGTCAACTGCACCTCTATAACTGTCTGGTTTGGTTCTGCAATCCAACAAGGCAGACACAGACTTCAGAGGATAATTAGAACTGCAGAAAAAACAATTGTCACCAACTTGCCTTCCATTGAAGACCTGTATACTGCATGAGTCAAAAAGAGGGCTGTGAAAATATTTAGAAACCCCTCACATCCTGGACATAAACTGTTTCATCTCCTATCCTCAAAACGATGCTATAGAGCACTGCACATCAGAACAACTAGACACAAGAACAGTTTTTTCCGGAACACCATCTCTCTGCTAAACAAATAATTCCCTCAATACTGTCAAACTATTTACTAAGTCTGCACTACTATTAATCTTCTCATCGTTCCCATCACCCATCTCCTCCCACTTATGACTGTATGACTGTAATCTTGTTGCTGGTATCCTTACGATTTATATTGATATTGTTTCCTGATTGCTTATTTGTAACCTATGACTATCATTAAATGTTATATCTTACGATTTCTTGATGAACGTATCCTTTATTTTATGTACACTGAGAGCATATGTGCAAAGACAAATTCCTTGTGTGTCCAGTCACATTTGGCCAATAAAAATTCTATTCTATTCTATTCTATTCTATTCTATTCTATTCTATTCTATTCTATTCTATTCTATTCTATTCTATTCTACCACTGTTTTTTTGGCCACGCATTGTCATTCTATTGCTCTGTTCAGATAAGGAAATATCTCTGGAATGATGACACAACATGAAACTGGTAGTCTAGTATAAAGCTATATTTCAAAGCAATCAGTGATACACAAGGGTGGGTTCTACTTACCTTTACTACCGCTTCGCAACAGGAACACGCAGAAGCTTCTGCGCATGCACAGATCGTCAATTATGATGTCCAGGCGGGTGGGTGGAGTCTCCCACCACTTTTACTACTGGTTCTAAAGAACAGGACAGAATCAGGAGCAAGCCAACACTGGTGATACATATAAATAAACTCACCACAGCTCCATGCTAGCATTTGTGCTGATTTTGGATCAGCTGAACCGATTTATTGCTGGAATACCTGTAATACAAGTTTATACTCAGAAATGCTAAAACCTCCCTGTCTCCCTGGTTCTGTACTCCCCTCCCCCCCATAGGTACCTTTACATTTTGTTTTTACTGCAAATATCTTAATTTGCATATAAAAACAGTAGAGCAGGAGTAGTTTGGCAAGACTGCTCTAGACCAACTGATTAGAATTGTCCTTTTTAAGAAAAGTACCCAAACAAACATAAATACATGCAGAATGAGGTACATGTTTTACACTTATCTACTGGTGACTGGGATCACCTTATGTAATTATTCTAACATATTGAGATCAACAACAGAAAGGACAAATTCAGGTCAATTTCAAGGTATATCTGAACATTCAGGGAGTGACTGTGGTGACGACAGTATGGAAATGCAAATCATTTTTCAAATCTTCTAGTGGAGTACATCTTTTTTTTCACCTTTTTTCACCTATATAATAATAATCATATCTCTGAAAGCTGCAGACTGATGAGAGGGGCATTATAACTGATATATTTTAGGGTGAAATTAATAGCCTGCACCAGTGCTACATTATGAACATCAGAAATCCTAACCTGTTTGCCCTGCCTACAGCTATTCATGATTGCCATGGCAACCATTGCACATTCCAGGTAATGTCTGGCTCATGTGTTCAGCTATATACAACCTGGGTCTGTTTCCCTCCATGCACTGAAGCTTAATATAGTTTCCTGATGAAGTACAGATTACTACTGGATCAGGCTTATGCTAATAGGAAAACCTATTAGGATTTTAAACCACCTTCAGTTAGCAGGCTAATGTATACAATTTATAATTGTATGTGGGAATGACCTTGGTGACTGGGCAAAGAGACGCTGTCAAGGGAACAGTCAGATAAGAGACAGCCCATAGCTACATAATGGGTGGGGCAAGAGGTTCAGGAGAGATCCTCCCTAGTTTCTCAGTCACTAAAAGAACTATGGGTTGGGGTTGAAGAAATGTACAGATAGTCCTTGACTTGCAACAGATTGTTTAGTTTAATTTACAATGGCACTGAAAAAATGACTTATGACCAGTTTTCACACTCCTGTTGTAGCATTCCCCATGATCGTATGATCAAAATTCAGACCCTTGGCAACTGACTCATATTTATGACAATTGCAGTGTCCTAGAGTCACGTGATCAACTTTTGCAACCTTCTGACAAGCATAGTCAATGGGGAAGCCAAATTCACTTAACAACAGTTTGACTGATTTACTAATTTAGTTAAGTGAATCACTAATTTAGAAGTGATTTCCTTTAATAACTATGGCTAGAAAGGTCATAAAATGGGACAAATTCACTTAACAAACGTTTCACTTAGCAACATGAATTTTGGGCCTAATTGTGATAATAAGTTGAGGACTACTTTCAGGCTTGCAAGATTGATATTTGCCTTGGGAGGAAAATCAGATTTTAAATTTTTAAAGCCATCAGGGCATTTTCATAGACTTCTTAACATAAAATACAGTTGAGTAATCTTGTCAGGAGATCCAGTCTAAATAATTTGTGCATATTTTCCCTCATATCTATTACCAGTTACCTACTGCCCAGTTACACTGGTTTGGTTTTCTTCAGATAGTCTAATAATGTTGACAGGGTCCTTGAATTTTGGATTTAAACCTTAAACTTTGTCCATTCTGTCAAATAAAAGCTATCAGAGATGGAGTGACTATGGTAATCCTACTTATGGGGAGGCCACAGTAAGTAATGTATTATTTTAGGTCATCATAGGAATGCAAGCTTTGAAAATCTTTACCTTAATTGCTTAAATGTTTAAAATGGTTTCCTATTTGTCTTCTGTTGTAATTGAAAAATCTATGATAAAGTTTAAAGCCCTGCAAGTTTTAAAGTACAAATATCTGAAGGACTTTCTTGCCTTACCCCAGTTGGTTAACCCACTTAAATAATATTCAGAAGCCTTATTACATGTTAATGATACTTAAACATTTAGTAAAATGGTTGCGAATACACTGGAACTCTTTTCACAAATCTTCATTATTAACTTCCTAGAAATTGGTAAACGCCTATTATTTTAGAAATACAGATGTGTGAATATAACATGTTATTTTAAATTTGTCTTTAATTTTTAAAATTAATTAGCAATTGAATGATGCAATTTTTCCTGAAATTTATTGGATCATAATATTTATTGAAGTGATATTTTAATTTTGTTATCTATCCTGAACTCTTCTGTGAACAAAAAATAGGATGGAGGGGGAGATGGAATTCCATTTCTTATTTCTGAAATGACTCTCTATAACAGGTTTACTAACTAATCAGAGACTAACAAACATTGAGGTTTCCTTACACTCAATAATGAAGATGCTTATTTTATATCTCCTATCTTCTGGAATTAGAGACAAGAAGATCTAGCTTCTTAACATCTTGCTTTTTTTTTCCTGCTAGGTTCATGGTCAATGCTGATTTTCCATGTATTCATACATACCTGCATCGGTTTGAATTTGGGACTGATGTACACATGTCTGAGCCAGACCACTAAAATACTTTCTATGCCAAATAATTTGTGCCCCAAAGAACATTTAATATAATTGCTCACATGGATCCTTTTCAAAATATGACAGAAATTGCAATTTTAACTGCTTTAAAGTTTTTATTAAGAGTCATCATGCCATTTAGCGACAAGTGGTTGGAATGCTGTAGCATTTCTTCTAGTCACTTCTGTGCCATGATTATGAGAACAGGAAAAGGGACTTCCGGCATCATAATTAATTTTGTTGCAGCAATTTTGTATGTTAATGAGGCTGAAAGCTTAGAGGAGCCATGGCAGAGCAGCTCTCACTTAACAGCAAATAAATATCCAAAGATAATCTAAATTTTCTAATGGACTTCCTGGCTCTCTGATCTTCTGATTTTAACTTCACATGATAATGAACTTGGGACTTTGTGTTCTAGTGAAGTTAAATGGGGCTCCAAAGAATAGTTTTAGTCTATTCTAAAACTAGCTGGCATAGCTTTCTAAAAATACAGCTGCTCAGAACTAAACGTAGGAACAGGCTACCAGAATAGACAAATAACACCATCATTCAATTAATGCAACTTTAAATGGGATACATTTCTTACATTCTGCTTGCGGATTTCTGCAAACATGTATATTGTGATGAACAATAACTGCAAATGGAGATGTGCAGCACTTCAGATTATATGCCTTTTCACAGGACTGTGCAGCAGCTATAGCAGTGATGGCTAACCTTTTCTGCATCGAGTGCCCAAAGGCCATGCCTGCCCGAACCTCCAAAATGCAATGCGGACGCGGCTCCTATGCATGCGGGCCCCCCCACATGCATGTATGCACAGGCCCCCTGCACCCTCCCTGCACCCCGCGCATGTGCGGCAGAGACTCAACAACCAGCTGGCCAGCAGGAGGCACGTGCACATGCACGGCGGAGCTGAACTGGGGCGACAGCTCACGTGCTCACAGAGAGGGCACTGTGTGCCACCTGTGGCACAAGTGCCGTAGGTTCGCCATCATGGAGCTATAGAGAGCAGTCATATGAAAGGGTGCCTTTCCTGCCGCCTTGAAAGAGGGGGTAGTGAGGCCCCTCCTCAAGAAGCCTTCCCTGGACCCGGCTGAATTAGCCAACTACCGTCCAGTCTCCAACCTTTATTTTGTGGTGAAGGTTGTTGAGAGCGCGGTGGCACGACAACTTCCCCGGCACCTGGATGAAGCTATCTATCTAGACCCGTACCAGTCGGGCTTCAGGCAGGGGTACAGCACAGAAACGGCATTGGTCGCGTTGGTGGATGATCTCTGGAGGGCTCGAGACAGGGGCTGCTCCTCTGTCCTAGTCCTATTAGATCTCTCAGCGGCCATGGTATCATGCTGCAGCAGTTGAGGGGGTTAGGAACAGGGGGCACCGTTCTGCGGTGGTTCTCCTCCTTCCTCTCCGACTGCTCGCAGTTTGTGTTGGCAGGGGGACAGAGGTCGACCTCGAGGCGTCTCGCATGGGGAGTGCCACAAGGGTCGGTCCTCTCGCCCCTCCTGTTCAACATTTATGTGAAGCCGCTGGGTGAGATCATCCGTGGTTTTGGGGTGAAGTGTCATCTGTACGCTGATGATACTCAGCTGTACATCTCCACCCCGGACCACCCCAACGATGCCCTTGATGTGATGTCTCGCTGCCTGGAGGCCGTGCGGGTCTGGATGGGGAGGAACAGGCTCAGACTCAACCCCTCCAAGACCAAGTGGCTGTGGCTTCTGGCGCCCCAATATAGTCAGCAGGTGCCATCACTGACTATTGGGGGTGAATCTTTGCCCCCCACGGAGAGGGCTCGCAATCTGGGTGTCCTCCTGGACGCACGGCTGTCTTTAGAAGAGCATATGACGGCCGTGGCCAGGGGGGCCTTTTATCAGGTTCACCTGATCCGCCAGTTGCAGCCCTTTCTGGACCGGGATGCCCTGTGCACGGTCACTCACGCCCTTGTTACCTCCCGGTTGGACTATTGTAATGCTCTCTACATGGGGCTCCCCTTGAAGAGCACTCGGAGGCTCCAGCTGGTCCAGAATGCGGCCGCGCAGGTGGTTATGGGCGCAACTTTTATTTCCAGCTTGGACCTGAACCAGGTGGATTTTCCTTGCAACAGTATATATTACTGTGTAATATATGGGCTGCAATTGATTAGTCCTTTTTTATTCATTTGATATATTGTGTGGACATTCAGTGTTTATTTACCTATGTTCTTTAATTCTGAAAACCTTCTCTTCTCCCGCCCCTTACAATCTATATTCACAATCTATGAAAACAATTCTGCCTAAAACATTTGTCCACCCAGATCTTGATTCATGCATTTTTCTGTAGGAAAATGCAGGAGAATACAAGTTACATTAAAGACTAATGGAACATAA